AACGAGGAATGGAAGGGGGGGGGGGGTGGAAGCGGAAACACCCACAGGTGGCAGAGCGACAGCGGCTGTGAGAGGGAGGGGAGGAGAGGGGGGGGAGGAGGGGAGAGGAAAGGAAGGAAAGGAGGCGAGAGGGGGGGGAGGAGGGGAGAGGGGGGGGAGGAGGGGAGAGGAGAGGAAGGAGGAAGAAACATGGAGAGAGGAGGAGGAGGAGGAGGCAGAAGGGGGGGAGGAATTTGGCACAGCGACGAGAAGGGGCGGAGAGAGGGAATGGGGAGGAGGAGGAGGAGGAGGAGGACGACGACGACGAGGGAGAAAAGAGGCACCAAACTAATCCGCCGACCCTGTCAGCGTGTGCAGCGTGTGCCAGGGCTCGAGCCAAACATCTACATCATGATCAACATCATCATGACCATCCGCATCCTGAACCCCATCGTCGTCGTCATCCTGTTCCTCATCCTCATCATCGTCATCGTCGCAACCATCATCATCACCGTTCTCATCATCAACATCCCAAACATTACGAGCATCAGCATCAACAACAACAATCATTTTTTCTTGGGTCTACTGAAGGCTGGCGATTGCTGGCAGCTCAAACAGCACGGTGGATGCGGTGCACACCACAGAAAGAGCAACAGCATGAACCCATCAAGCACGGTGGACGTGTTCCACCTGGCGCTGGTCGGATACAAAATACTGATGCAGTGCGCAGCATGACAAGAGCCACAACGCGCAAAACTTCAAACGAGCAAAGTGGACGAATTCCACTCGGCGATCGTCGGAAAAAATGCACGCCAACTCGAAGAGCTGTACGATCCCCAAGGGCCCCGAACCCCATTTTCCCTGAATTCTTGATCGGAACAGTGGCAGAAGAATTCCGGGGGATCCCGAAGAGGCCTCCGAGATGGTGTCGGAGTAGATGGGGTCGGAGGATCGCGCCGCATCGCCGATCCATCGACGATGGTGGTCCTTCCTTCAGCGTCTTCACTGTAGAGCAGAGATGAAGGAGCATGGCGGAACGTCGCGGCAAGAAATATCGGCATTGGCTCGAAACGAGAGCTCACGCCCAGAGCGCTCAGCCAGGCGGCGGATCTGGCGGAAGCTCGAGGGAGGTGATACCGCGCGGGAGAGGATCTTTGCCTCGTGACGCGTAACACCGGTGGCTGACGGGGCACCTCACCACGAAGAGGTGGTGAAACAAGTGAATTCAAGTGAGGCAAGGCCAGGGGCCCCGACACGGAGAAGAACCTGAGGAAGAGGAAGATGGAGGAAGGGAAGCAGTCACGGAGCGGAAATCGAGAGGCTAGGCGAGGGCAGGGGAAAGAGAAGGGACCAACAGGAATCGCGAGAGAAAGAGAGGTGCTCTCGCCTGGGTGCTGGAAACTAGTGCGCGTGTAGGGGTTGAAGAAGAGCTGGACGAGGACGCACAGGGACCTCGATGCGTGCCTCCGCGGACCATGCACGAGTGGGAAAACATGCATATGACAGGGATGCAACATGTGCATGCGTGGGCCCATTCAACGTCATTGTATAATACTAGGATCCGCCGCTCCCTTTTGATTAATCAGAGGGGTGCCTGGCGTGCCGAATCCTATCGCTTCTGGTTTGGGTTCTTTTCCAAAAGAACTCCCCCTGGGGCTCCGGTGCGTCCCGCTGGCCACCCAGAAGGATTGCCTGGAGGTGGTTGCCGTGGGCTTTCATGCCCCAGATGGCTCCCAGACTGCCCAAGATGGCCTCCAAGACGCCTCAGAGGGCCCCAAGATGCCTCCAAGACGGCCCAAGATGCACCAAAGACGGCCTCAGATGGCCTCAAGATGGCACAAGACGGCCGAAGAGGCCCCGAATAGTCCTCCAAGACAGCCCAAGAGGCCTCCAGGAGGGCCCGAAGAGGCCAAAATCATTGATTTTCCATAGGTTTTCGAAGGATTTGGGCATCTGCTTCTTTGCGGCATTCCGACGGCGCAAGACGGCCCCACCAAGATCGCCCACGAGGCCTCCAAGATGGCCCCATGACGGCCCAATAGGCCCCCAAGACGGCCCCAAGAGGGCCCCAAGAGGGCCCAAGAGGCCTCCAAGACGCCCAAGATGGCCTCCAAGACGGCCAAGATGGCCCCAAGATGCCTCCAACACGGCCCAAGATGCACCCAAGACGGCCTAAGATGGCCTCAAGATGGCACAAGACGGCCCAAGAGGCATCCAAGAGGCCTCCAAGACGGCCCAAAAGACGTCCAGAAGGTCTTCCAGGAGGGAACGACGAGGCCAAAATCATTGATTTTCCAAAAGGTCTTTGAAGGATTTGGGCATCTACTTCTTTCGGCATTCCGACGGCTCAAGACGGCCCCAGAGGCCCCCACGATCGCCCGCGGGGCCTCCAAGAAGGCCCCATGACGGCCTAAGAGGCCCCCAAGACGGCCCCAAGAGGGCCCAACGGGCCTCCAAGACGGCTGGGATGGCCTCCAAGGCGGCTAAGATGGCCCAAAGATGCCTCTAACACGGCCCAAGATGCACCCAAGACGGCCCAAGATGGCCTCAAGATGGCACAAGACGGCCCAAGAGGCCCCCAAGAGGCCTCCAAGACGGCCCAAAAGACGTCCAGGAGGTCTTCCAGGAGGGCACGACGCGGCCAAAATCATTGATTTTCCAAAAAGGTTTTTGAAGGATTTTGGCATCTGCTTCTTCTCGGCATTCCGACGCCTCAAGACGGCGCAAGAGGCCCCCAAGATCGCCCAAGAGGCCTCCAAGATGGCCCCATGACAGCCCAAAAGGCTCCCAAGATGGCCCCAAAAGGGCCACAAAACGGCGCAAGAGGCCTCCAAGACGCCCAAGATGGCCTCTAAGAACCCCTGATATTCCCCAAGAGAACCCCAAGACGACCCAGACAGGCCTCCAAGGCGGCTTCCGACGGCGTCAGACAAGCCAGGAACGCCCTAAGACTGCCAAAGAGGCCCCCAAGAAGCCCAGAAAGGCCCCCCCAAACCCTCCAAGAGGCCCCCAGGAAGCTCCCAGGAGGCCCCAAGAGTGCCCCAAGAGGCGCCCAAGAGGCCTCCTCCTCCTCCTCCTCCTCCTCCTCCTCCTCCTCCTCCTCCTCCTTTTCTTCTTCTTCTTCTTATTATTATTATTATTCTGCTTATTATTATTAATAGTAGTAGTAGTAGTAGAAGTTTAGTATTATTATTAGTATTATTAATATACTTCTTAGTATTAGTATTATTAGTATTATTCTCATTATTAGTATTATTAGTGTTATGCTTAGTATTATTATTATGATTCTTATTATTAATACTATTATTATTTGTAATTTTATTCTTCTTCGTTGTATTATTAATATTAGTAGTATTCGTTATCCGCCGACCCTGTCGGCGTGTGTGAGGGGCTTTTCCGTTCGAGCCGTCATCTCCGTCATTCTTTGTACTCGTCGTCTCTGTCCTTCCCTTTCCCTGGGAGACCTCTTCCCCTGGGCTCCAGCCAAGCCGACCTTGAGCAACCTCGTAATTGAGTCGAAGGGAAGCCCCTTCCCTTTGATCCCTCCCCCGCCGGGAGGGGGGGGGGGTAGCGACCCCCCCCCCGGGTCAGATACGACGCCCCCCCCTGGGACTCCTCTTCCCCTGGGCTCCAGCCAAGCCGACCTTGAGCAACCTCGTAATTGAGTCGAAGGGAAGCCCCTTCCCTTTGATCCCTCCCCCGCCGGGAGGGGGGGGGGGTAGCGACCCCCCCCCCGGGTCAGATACGACGCCCCCCCCTGGGACTCCTCTTCCCCTGGGCTCCAGCCAAGCCGACCTTGAGCAACCTCGTAATTGAGTCGAAGGGAAGCCCCTTCCCTTTGATCCCTCCCCCGCCGGGAGGGGGGAGGGGGGTAGCGACCCCCCCCCCGGGTCAGATACGACGCCCCCCCCTGGGACTCCTCTTCCCCTGGGCTCCAGCCAAGCCGACCTTGAGCAACCTCGTAATTGAGTCGAAGGGAAGCCCCTTCCCTTTGATCCCTCCCCCGCCGGGAGGGAGGGGGGGGTAGCGGGGGGCGGTAGCGACCCCCCCCCCAGGTCAGATACGACGCCCCCCCCTGGGACTCCTCTTCCCCTGGGCTCCAGCCAAGCCGACCTTGAGCAACCTCGATAATTGAGTCGTAATTGGTCGAAGCCCCTTCCCTTTGATCCCTCCCCCGCCGGGAGGGGGGGGGGAGCGACCCCCCCCCCGGGTCAGATACGACGCCCCCCCCTGGGACTCCTCTTCCCCTGGGCTCCAGCCAAGCCGACCTTGAGCAACCTCGTAATTGAGTCGAAGGGAAGCCCCTTCCCTTTCATTCCTCCCCCGCCGGGAGGGGGGGGGGGGTAGCGGGGGGGGGTAGCGACCCCCCCCCCGAGTCAGATACGACGCCCCCCCCCCGTACCGACCTTGAGCAACGTCGTCATTGAGTCGAAGGGAAGCCCCTTCCCTTTCCCTTCCCCGACGGGGGGGGGAGAGGAGGTCCCGGGGGGGGTCCCGGGGGAGTCCCGGGGAAGTCCCGGGTCAGATACGACACCTCCCTCCCCCACCTTCTCGTCCTTCTCCCCGTTCCCCCAAACCATCCCACAGCCCGTGCCTCTTGCTGCGCATTGCGAACAGGGTCGGCGGCACCGGCCGTCAGGCCTTCGCAATATTATCAGTGTTATAGTGTTTATTCTTCTATATTATAGTAGTAGTAGTAGTAGTAGTAGTAGTAGTAGTAGTAGTAGTAGTAGTAGTAGTAGTAGTAGTAGTAGTAGTAGTAGTAGTAGTAGTAGTAGTAGTAGTAGTAGTAGTAGTAGTAGTAGTAGTAGTAGTAGTAGTAGTAGTAGTAGTAGTAGTAGTAGTAGTAGTAGTAGTAGTAGTAGTAGTAGTAGTAGTAGTAGTAGTAGTAGTAGTAGTAGTAGTAGTAGTAGTAGTAGTAGTAGTAGTAGTAGTAGTAGTAGTAGTAGTAGTAGTAGTAGTAGTAGTAGTAGTAGTAGTAGTAGTAGTAGTAGTAGTAGTAGTAGTAGTAGTAGTAGTAGTAGCATGCGTCGTATTCATTTTATTATTATTATTATTATCCTCCTCCTCCTCCTGAGTCTTCTTCTTCGTCTTATTAGACTTAGTATGTTTATTATTATTTTTCTTATTCGTATTAGTATGCTTAGTATTCTTCGTATTAGTATTATTACTCTTCTTAGTATTACTAATATTACTATTACTACTAGTAGTAGTAGTAGTAGTAGTAGGAGTAGTAGTAGTAGTAGTAGTAGTAGTATTCGTCTGCTTCTTCTTATTACTATTATTACTCCTCCCCGCCTCCTCCTCCTCCTCCTCCTCCTCCTCCTCCGCCTCCTCCGCTCCTCCGCCTCCTCCTCCTCCTCCTCCTCCTCTCTCCCTCCTCCTCCTCCTCCTCCTCCTCCTCCTCCTCCTCCTCCTCCTCCTCCATCCGCCCCCTCCTCTTCTTGCTCCCCCATGCGTTCACCGAAGTCTTTCCAAACCGACTCAGAAAACAACTGGCCCGATAGCTTGGCCAAGCTCTGGCTCAGCTGCCGGCCACAGAGGCGCTTCCAAAGGGGCAGGGGGCGGCGGTGATTCGCCGTGGCGTCTTAGATCCGCCGCCCCCTGTCGATTCATCGCAAAGGTGCCTGGCGTGCTGGATTTCTTACGGTTTTGGTGTTGCTTCTTTTTCCAAAAGAACTCCCCCTGGCACTTCGGCCCGTCCCGCCAGGGTCCCGGGAGGGAACTCCAGGCGCGCACACGACCTCAACGTCCAAAAAAAATGATCCAAGACGGCCCGAGATGGCCTCCAAGACGGCCAAGATGGCCCTCAAGCTCACCCAAGATGGTCCAAGATGGCCTCCAAGTCCGCCCAAGATGGTTCAAGATGGCCTCCACGACGGCCCAAGAGGGTCCAAGATACCGCCTAGTTCACCCAAGAAGCCTCCAAGACGGCCCAAGACGGCCCAAGAGGTCTCGAAGAGGCCCTTCAGGAGGGCCCGAAGAGGCCAAAATCATTGATTTTCCATAGGTTTTTGAAGGACGCTGGCATCTGCTTCTTTTCGGCATTCCGACGGCTCAAGACGGCTCAAGAGGCCGCCAAGATCGCCGCCAAACCGCCCACGAGGCCTCGAAGAGGGCCCCATGACGGTCCAAGAGGCCCCCAAGACGGCCCCAAGAGGGCCCCAAGACGGCCCAAGATGGCCTCCAAGACGGCCCCGAAGCGTCCCAAGATCGCCCCAAGTCGGTTAAGAGAGACCCCCAAGACGGCTCCCGACGGCGTCAGACGGGCCAGGAACCCACCAAGATGGCCGAAGTTGGCTCGAAGCTGGCCGAAGACGGCCCAAGAGGCCTCCAAGAGGGCCTCCAGGAAGGCCAGAAAAGGCCAAACACTTTGATTGTCCTAAGGTATTTGAAGGATTTTGACAGTTGCTTCGTTTCGACCTTCCGACGGCCCGAGACGGCCCAAGAGCACCCAACGATCGTCCAAAGATCGCCCAAGAGGCTTCCAAGATGGGCACAGGACGGCCCAAGAGGCCCCCAAGACGGCCCCAAG